CATTGGATTTTTTGAACTTTTAGATTTTATGTTGGATATATTAAGTTGAACATTTTAGAATACTGTATGACCTTAGCACAGGAAAAAGTTTTGTATTTATATGCGTCATGCACATGCAAATACCACATGCTCCGAACTAGAAAAGCATGGATGTGAAACAACCACATAGTAATAAATGTGATTTCTACTGAAAATGCAAGTTCATATATTTTACTGCATGGCAACAGCTTAACTGAGCCAGAAGGCTGCACTGTGGGTTTAGTTCAGGGCCAGTACACACCTAGGCGACACCCCATGGTGCGGCAATCGTGCACGATTCCGCTTGGATTGCCCCGTGGTCAGGAGTCACCCTGGTGTGCACCGATCGTGCTGTGGGTGCCATTATTTTCCAATGGCACCCCAATCGCCAATCCCAATCGTGTTTGGAAGCACAGGCGGAATCGCAGCAGGAAACCAAGTGATCCGTCCGGTGCGACTAGGTTGCCATTGTAAAATAATGTACCCACAGTGCGATTGGTGCACATCTGGGCGGCTCCTGACCGCGCGGCAATCCACGCGGAACCGTGCACGATTGCTGCGCTGTGAGGTGTCGCCTAGGTGTGCACCGGCCCTTAAATGAATTTGGCTACCTAGATTATGTAATATTGATATGGTTCAATACAGCATAGCAAAGTGGAATAATCCATGGCAATTGGATTCCAGTTTGCAAGTGATTACCCTTTCACTTCCAAAACAAATGTTGCTGAACAGACGCACGGATACAATTTTTAAAATGATTTTTTTTATTTTTCTTTCAATCTTTCAGGCAATAAATTAACATTTTAAATAATCAGAAGAAACAAACATATATACACATCATACAGCTGCCCTGACACAGAATGAAATAAACCACTTAAAATGATGACGGGATACTTACACTAAAATATGGAATTCTGCTATTGCATCAATTGTATAACCTCAGGCTTCCAGTGATAAAGACTAAAGACTCCGGCACACATTGTCCTGCAGACATTTTCACCAGGTTTAAGTGCATGAATAGTCCTCTATACTTCGTTTTTTTTCTGCAGAACACTACTTACAGGAAATTATTTTCGTGTGATAAAGCACTTCAGCTACGACTAAATGACATAATCCTTGATGCTTATGTAGCCTATGGAACTTTAGTAATCTGGTAACCAATTGAAACCTATTATAACCTCCTATAAATGAGATGCAGTTAAATATGTTAATAATTTAGGCTGGTCAGACATACAAAGGAGGACATATTAAGAAACTGATGGCAGAAGTGCTAGCACGCAGGATTCTTAACAGGTGTTTTTGTATGCAATGATTTTTCCTAATAAAAGCCCTGGCATACTTTGTCCATGTTGAGCTGGATAATATGCTATCGGGATTATGTCGTCATACGCCCACTGATGTGTAAGGGGGAGATGTTCCTCTACAGACTCCTACAACAAGCTGATAGAGTTCTCACAACAGCATGGAGTAGCACACTAGTGTCTTCAATTAAAAAAAAAATCCAGACAAAACAAAATACTTGTATGTCACCAACCATAAAAGCTGGTCCGCGCATGTATGTAGCCAAACTAAAGCATTTGTAAACACAAATGTATTCCCTTGCAGCACATTAAGGGTTTGTGCACACCATGTCCATTGAGTTGTGTTTTTTGCACACCCCCACACTTGTATGCGGTGAACCATAATTGTGCAGTGGTGTGCAGAAAAATGCAGCTCAACAGACATGGTGTGAACAAGCCCTTTTACTTGTTGATTAATTTAGAATCCTGACATTGATTAGTATCCCAATTTAAAAGTTCCATAGAACAGATATGTTATGTGATACAAAATAAGACTGCTAAAATCAGCCACTAAACCAGCTCAGGGACAGATTTAGTTTCCCATCCCCCTTAGTCCGACTGGCATTTTGCCCCCCTCCAACCTTAGTTAATTGGCTAGCTTTAGTAATATGATTTCATAGCCACACACAACAAGCCAATGCTGGGGGTGGAGAAGGTAAAGGTTTGCCTGGTCTACCTTAGTACAGACCACTAGAAAACTAATATATTAGCAGTTCAGTTAAAGGAGTACAGAGCCAAAGTGGGTTACCTGTAAGCACTCAGTACACTATTCCACCAAAAATAAAACTGCAAGGAAGCAACAATGAGGATGCAGATGGATTGCTCTGGCAAGCAGCAATTTTTATCCTTTTATTACACATGGGAATTTGTGACTTACACTCCAGAAACAATGTGTGGATGGCTGTATACTGCCTTCATAGCCCACAGCCCTATATTAAATGGATGAGTCTTAAGATGGTCATACCCCAGTAGAATTTTATTTAAAAAAAAACATTTTTGGAACATTAGCTAGATTTTCTAATAATGAATGGGGTGAAACTGACTATCGATTTTGCAGTGATGAAAATTTGGAAGGAGTCGAATGGAAGGTTTTTTCTCAAACGAAAAAAATCTCTTACAGTGAATGTGGTTTTTGTTTTTGAAACTCCATTCATTTCAATATTGAATGGTAAAATCAAATGAAATTTCCAAGTCTCTCATAGCATTATTGAATATTCTGGCAAGATTGTTCATATGAAAGCGTGTTTGAAAATCTACCAGTGTAGGGTCAGCTTATCACATGGGTCCTGACAAGTACAAAGGTATCTAATCCGTTTTGATGGATCCGTGGGATTGCACTTCAATCTGAACTGTGGGTAGAACAGAAAAAAATTGAAATATGTAGGATGCGCTTGGTGTACTGAGGTAGAGCAGGCAAACCTTTACCTTCTCCCCCTTCCGCCTGTGCCTGTAATGAACCTAATCATTTAGTGGAAAACACTGCCTTCTGCTGTTTTTTTTTTCTCTTCAGTGTCTGTGCTGCATTAGGGTCAGTGGCCTGGAGGTCAGTAATACCCTTCCCTCAACCTCTTGGAGAATTCTAACCTTACATCTAACGTGGGTGCAGTGTACCCTTCCTTCCGTAATACTTCTAACCACAGACTGGCACCTATCAGAGCATAAATGCTGTTTGGCTAGCGGTAATGCTTCAGAATGGTTGACTATAGCTGCATAGCCACACTGACTACCAAAAATGTGTAGTCCTATACCAGCTCTCTACAGCAATAAACTGTGACATAGTGGCACTGTGTTTCTAAAAAAAAAAATGTAGCAAATGCAAATTAACCCTCTTGTGATGGTATTAACTAGTAATCCCTATAATACAAGTTTTATAGTTTTATTGTTGTGCTAATTGCACGAAAACTTTCAGTGGTATTAACATTTATGTAACCGGCTTTATACTCAACCGACTTGGAAAGCTTAAACAAGTACTTATTGCCAAACAAAACAAACAAGTGCTAGAATACCTCAAGGGGTTATTCAATAAATGAGTGTAAAAAGGTGAAAATGATGTACTAAGTGCAGGAAACAGCAACTGCCAAATTTATTTTTAGGTATTTAGGGAAGATTAGAGAAAGATGCATTCGGATTGGCACACTGCTCTTTGCCAGGCTGAGTACTTTTACAGTGTAACTTAGATGCCTGAAATATGTCTTTCCTACAATTGTATGACTATAGGAGTCATTTTTAAACATGCACTATATTCATTACAGTCAATCAGCCCTCTTTCATCTTGTCGCATGCACAAATTCAAAAAGACCGTGTTGCCTACTAGATCCCAACTTCTGTGAATGTAGTGAAAGCTGGCACTTTTTTTTGTCTGTGGGTATCCTAACATGCACTAATGGTCTATTCTTAGTAAGCAAATTAAAAGAAGGACCTGCATATGCCTGACAAACAAAAACTATTCTGTTTATATTTTAGGATCTATACAAAGGTTGGGAATTGCTGAAAAAAATGTAATCTTTATTTCCATGGAACAATGTAAAGAAAAATTCGACTACCTGTTCAAGTCCGCAGACACTGATGTCCCCAACTTTTTTTTGCCAGTGGATTGTAATCCATGCAACATTTGTAGTATCAGAAAGGTGGAATTCATTTTCATGGGTACCTTCAAGTATAAATAGGGCTAGAAGTGACACTCATGGGTGCACTCCGCTGTAGCTACCACCGTACAAGACAACAAATAGAATGAAAGATCAATATCATTTTAAAAATGATATTTCAAAATCCTACCAAGCATCTTCAACGGAAGTCTATATGAAATAATACAGAGCAAAAACTGCCTTTTTCTTTATGTCTTTTATATGCTACGTAATGCATTAGTTTGAAGAATGAACATAAAAAGGAATTTACCACCAAAACAAAGCAGGCTTCGAGTTTTTCTTCTGTATGCATTATCAACAGGAAACAAAATGGGTGTCCTTTGATACAAGTGTATAGACACGAGTCATATTCTGTTTTGCTATGCTGGTCATGCAGATTCCAATCTAGATAGGTTTGGTTTGACTGCAAAACCAGATCTACAATGTGAAAACGCCTCTTAACAGCTCAACATTTTGACCGCAAGTTCTCAAATACTTGGCCTTATCTTATAATGCATATGTTTTTAAGCACATAGCCCATAACAATGTTTAGTCTTAATGCATACACTGTAAAACATTCTCTTTTTACAATGCATAAATTCATATGGACTGGCATGATGCCAGATCATCAATGCCCAATAACCAAGTGTCAAAGTACAGAAATGAATTATCGTGCAGACATGATACTTGCATGCAAAAGGCCCACGTGTCTAAATACAGTTCATTGGAATTTGAATATTCCAGTATTTTGACACGTGGGCCTTTTGTAAAACATCGGTCAACAAACTGAAATTGTGAAAAAAGGTTGTTTTTTATTTTTATTTTAGAGGGCTCCTCAAGTACTCCTGTTTAACATTCTTCTTTTTTTCCGTTGTTAATAAGGGTTCTTGACTAATAATGTATTTGCTCTGGTTAAAGCAGCAGACATGAAAAAGGCAGCTTATATGAAGGCATTAAAATGTCACCGTATAAAAAAGACCATGAAATGGAACTGCCAATTCCTTTATGGATCAGATAGTTATAGGTCAAAACCTAACACTGATTAAAATACTAAGTTAGGTAAAATGTGTATGCTACCTTTTGCATCATAGACACGCTTTGTTTCCGAAACAAAAAGGCATAGCTCAGGTTAACTGAATACTGACAGCATTGCTAAAGTCTGCAACACCTTAAACAGGCATAGTTAATAAAACTACACACAGCACTAATTTGTTCCAAACGATGCAGCAGACTGGCATCCACAATCATACAATTACATAATGTGGGTATGAACAAGGTGGAATCAACAGTAATCCAAACAGGAACAACTGTCTAAAGCATTAAATATAATTTTAAAATCTGCTTACTGAAAGCTTATTACATGAGTATAACATATCCAGTGTCATTTCCAGACTCCAAAAAAATGCCCACTAACAGGCTAGCTTATGGTAAGAACATGCCAAGAACATTTATAATCCATCTTGTATCATAGGTATAAAATACTAGAGAAATGCATACAGAACACTAATAGTTCCAGGCTTGAGCTTCAGCAATGATGGCCAATGAGAATATCCAGTGTTACCTTTGTTGTGCTCTTGATTACAATATCTAGTAACCTTGATGTTCCAGAAATGGTGCTTTTCCCTTATTGCATTTTGATACTTTGGAGGACAGAATACAAAATAATTTAAAATACAATACCAGATTGAAATTGGAGGAACATATAAATAAAAATAGGCACTTTGGGAAAATGAAAAAAATTTCCCAAACTTGATTTGCTTTAAGACAAAAAAGCTGCCCTGAAGCCACTCTGTTAAGAAGAAAAAAGAAACTTAAAAAGTTATAAATACAAGTTAAACATGAAATATCCATGTTTATATATAAATATTTATAATAAAAGTAAAAATCAAATGTGGAAATAAAAGCAACGACTACACCTCAAATGGCTTTGAAGATGGAAAACTGCTAAATTATTATTGCTTGTGGGGTTCCCACGGTTTCAGGATTTACATTTTCTGCAGTGCGAGTTCATCTCTCTGTATAAAAGGTCTTTTGGGCCCTAAGTCGCCAAAGCCAGTCAGTTTTCTTGTGGTATTCCACTCACTTTTAGCAGCTGGGAGAAGTTGTGATGGGACTGTGAAGATACGGTAGGCTGTTTGGAGCTGCTACTGACACAGGAAAGCTGAAGACAAAGGGAGATGTGGGTGAAGAGGAAGTCTTACTGCGTTCTAAAAGTGTGGCAGAGGGACTGGCAGCCTCTGTCGCACAGGTAGTGGTCAAGACCTGAGTTTCGAATTGTAGCAGTTGTCCCATGAAGCTGAAGTTGGGAGAGATGATACTCCTACGCTGCTTGACAAATTCAAAGGCCTCTTCCAATTTTACCCTTTTCTTCATCATCAAGTAGGCCAAGCATATGGTAGCAGACCGGGAAATGCCAGCTTGGCAGTGCACCAGTACACGTCCATGATTATCCTTAATAGAATCTGAAGAGATAAAAACACAGCAACAGTAAAGTTGTGGTTCCTCAAATGTATACATCATTACTAGCCATGTATGAAAGCAAAAAAAGTAAAAAGTGCCTCTATCTGTACATTATAGTACTGTGCTGCCATGTTAACTACCGTACATTAAAGTGCATTACAGACAAGCGGGTATTACATAGCTGTAGTAATAATATGAACAGTGCAAGTTGCTTTTTTTATGTATCAAGTCAATGACCAAGTTATACCTATAAAGTTAAGGTTTCCAACAGAATGCATTAACACCTAAAATTTCACAATAGCTTTCATTTTTATTTAATTGCATTTTTAAAAAATTATTATTATTATATTGAGCAAGAGCAACTATATTGAGAATGTGAGCAAGAACTGAAAAGGTTTGCTCTTCCTCTTTTTTTTTTCTGGTTCAGGGTTGCTTGAGGAGGCCCCTGGAACTATTCCATAGCCCCATTTGGTCCTTTATTTGCCTGGTTATTATCCCTCCCCATAATTTTGTTTACCTAAAAAAAGATGAAAACGTTTCCCACCGTTATTGGACGTTGTTTTTTTTGGCCTTTTGTTTATTTTTCCTCTTTGATTCTATGTGGCCATGCGTTATGCAAGGTTCTGACTACTTCTATTGGTCATTATTGAATGTATTTTCTACAACTGTATGCTCTTTTGTACGTGATTCTGGTAGAGCTGGTTCATAGAAAAAAGAAAAGAGAACTGAAAAGGGAAGCAATTGTTAATGGATAAAAAGGAAGAGGAAAGGGGAAGGGAAAAATGTGAACATAAGAGAAAAAAATGAAAGAAGTGGAGGGGCTGGGAAGGTAAGAGGGACAGTGGCCTGTGACATGAGTTTTGTGAATCACTGGTACATAAAGTCTCCTGGAGTGATTCATTCAATATATGTGGGAGTCTGGCTTTAGCAATACTGTGTAAAATGCAGAATGTTTAAATACTCTGCAGTGGTAGTAAATGCAGATTTAACCGAAAGATCCTGCAGTACTGCCAATTGTTAGGTCTTCTATTTACATTATCATCTGTCACTATCTTATTGAACCAGCATGTTATTGGCAAAAGGTGGTGTGGTTTCTTCCATTAAAAGGAAGATACAAGTTCTGGTAGCATTGACTAGGTGTATAAGCAACAAGTTTTTTGGGATACATTTTTGTTATACAATAGGAAGGATCTGCTGCTATTTAAAAGCCTCTGACTGTACCTGGGAGATCAGTTGTACATTTTCACAGAAATGTACATTTACAGTTTGTAGAGCTCATTGGTTTTCATGTTTCTTGCTTACTGGTGACACAAGTGGACCTTTTTCAACTAATTATGGGACTTCTGAAGTTAAAGTGACACAGGAGGAATTTAAGTACCTTAACTAATAACAAAAATGTACCTGTTTTTGTGTATCACTCAGCTGTAGAATATCCGTTAGGATTAAGTAGCAACCATATGGTATGAAGGTCTGCTTGATGGATATTAAATTGAACAGATTGTTTAGCAAGGCCCTCATGCTACATAGTTGTTCATAAATCTAAAAGAAGATTCTACAATCAGATTGTAATTTGCATGGCCAGCTGCAAAAGACTAGAAGCCAGGAAAACAAATGGGCCTGTGGAAAGTGGCACACGTCTAGCCTACTGTTTGCAGGAATGTCAAAAAGGCCAGAAGCACTATTATGCAAACACGCATAGAAAGGAGAGAAGAGGGTGTTCAGAAGCACAGGAAGTGACCACTACACAAAAGAGAGTAACTTTGCCCTGGCCCACCGTGTCCCAGATCAGATATTTTACTTGATAGAAACGCAATTTGTGATATTTGTTTGAACCAGCTTAGGCCCCTTTCACACGGGCTGATCAGGAGAGGAACCCAAGCACAGATCCTCTCCTGATCACAGCAGTATGGAGTGGATGTCACCGCTGGGACATCCATGTCTGTACAGTTTTCTCCTGCAATTACCAAACCTCATGTCAGTCTATGGGGAATCTGATGTAAATGGACATGTGTCCGTTTACATCAGATTACCCCCAATCCAGCACGATCCGGTGAAACGAATCTCTGATCCGTCTGTTTTTCTGGACCCAGCCGGAGTCGGGTGTAAACAGACATCTGTTTACACATGGCTGCCCATAGACTTACATTGGACATCTGATCAGGTCCGCCTGAAAATCTAACAGACCGGCTGTGTAAAAGGGGCCTTATACATCGTCTCGTGATATAGACCTCTTGAAATATTTACAATCTTCTTGTTATTGTGATAATATCACCTACATTTAAGCAAGTTGTGATATACTGTCTGTATTGTTCCATTTAAAAGGCAACACTGACAACCAAAATAAACATATACAACAGCAGTACTTTGAATAATATACTAAACAACACTTACCAATATATTCTATTGCCTCCATAAACCAGGAGCTAATGTCAGCTTTATGGTTGTCTTCCACTGGAATACATTTATACTGGAAATGACCTTCAAAATGGTTGGGACAGTCAGAAGATACGTTCAGTAAGGCTGTGATACCCAAGGCATCCAACATGTCTCTTCGGGCAGCATGATATGCACTACCGAGGTAAAGGAAGGGAAGGATGTCCACTGGACCACGCTGTTCCAGAAGGAAATAGAAAACAATTGTTTCTTAGCATGGAGGAGGAAACACACTAGATATGCATAAGAATATTTCAGAACATGTGTCAGTTAAGCTAAACAGACCACCTAAAAGATGGGTCTCCCTACCTGGAGAAAACATCTAGATTGCTACATACTCTTAATCCTGTCAATTTCCTTACTGATACCTACACGTGCAATTAATATGGTCCATCAGTAATATTGGACAGACCAACTTGTGAGACAAGAGAGCAATTAAACACGTTACTCAGAAAAGGACTCCAAGTGCTGACTTTCACTTTAACAGTAAGCAGGGGAGGGCAGCCATGCAACCTTCAAAACACAAGAATAGTGATATTCTATTGAACGGACTCCTCCTATTTGTCAGCAACTATGTGATATTATAGTAAACTAAAAGTGACTCCAACCCCAAGAGTAAAAATGTTGCTGCATTCATCCACTTTTCTTACTGAACTGGTGTCCCTGCCATTAAAACACTTTTTGCCCTAAGGTGACAAGTGTGTTTAGACAACAGAACTCATCTCTTTTTCCCCTTTTCTTCAAAACACTGGGGGTGTTCTGTAGTTCACAGCCAGGCTGATAATACTGCTTGGGATTTTTAGCGCACATTCTTAGTTCTGTGATTGAATCGTCACTGACCGCTCCAGATCTCCCAATCATGTGACCACCATGATAGCCAAATCATAGAGATAACCGAGGTTTGTTGGCAAACCTCCCGGGTAGAGATTTGATTGAAAAATGTATTGAAAAAAATTAAAATAATAATATGTATCTTTAAAAAAAACACCCCAAAATGAGAACTGTATTAGTCGTAGAGTTATTGTTTAGATAATTGATGCATACAGGCATTTCTTCATTTGGTTTGAGCATGACTTCTGGCCATGTGTTGAATGTGCTCCGTTTTGGGGGTGCCTTTATTTAATGATGGACAGCTGAACCTAAAATAAGGGCTGGGTTTATTTACAAATAGTAAGAAACATAAATTCTAGCTACAATAAACATAAATGGAGAGGGAATTTGGTAAACTGCAGGACTCATCTCCATTTGGAGACCTTAATCCTTTAACTCTTCTTTTACATGGCACATAAGCATGCTAAATCCTTGGCACAAACTGCTTCAGAAAACATCTGCCTCCCCAGAAAAAAAATGTCCGCACTAAATATATTATATTTCATGGGTGGGCATCCTTGGCCCTCCATCTGCGGTGAAACTACAAATTTCATGAGGCATTGCAAGCCTCTGACAGACACAAGCATGATTACCAGAGGCAGGGTGGGATTTGTAGTTTTACCATAGCTGGAGTATTCAGGATACCTATCCCTGTTATATGTGGTCCATTACCTGATCATGAAGTGGTGTTGTACAGGAACCGACGCCCCTTTCAGTAGGCTCTATGCTGGTAGGCAGGGAAATACTGTTTATAGACTTCGTCTTTGCACAGAATTCTGGGTACTCTGAGTGAAATCTTTCATAGCCTCCTGCAGGGAAAAAAAAAAAAAAAAAGAGAAGAAAATAATCAAAAATGGTGAAAATCCTCTGCAGCTGCAAACCCAAAAAGTAATCCACTAGGTTTGAATACATTGTGCTAACAACAATAGATTACACTGGCAACAAAACATTATCAAAAATATGATGGAATACATGTGCAGGGATCTTCTGTGGACTTCTGGCCGGTTCAAAGCAGTTACACAATTATCCCAGACGTCTTGACACACAGAAATTCACATTTTACAAGGGAATGGATAATCGACGATCTTTGTAATAGCTATAAAAACCCAGTAAATATAGTGAATACATTTTCACTGGCAATCACTATTATTTCATTGCATTTTCCACATGCAGTCAATGACTTAGAAAGAACTGAAGCCGTTGGATAAGCGTACCAGTCAGGGAACTGGGACTTTTAGGAGAAGTCAACAATGGCAGCCTCCTTACTTCCTCAGTCCAGGTTCCCTTTAGGCCTCGTTCACACCAGACACAGTGCGTTCTGGCCTGATTGTTTACTCCTCCTAAAAACACAAGTTCCCTGACCTGCTAGAGTCTATTTGTTCTCCTCATACAAATAACATTACTTTTTTTTTTTTTTATTAGGCCACATGCACACGGAGCTATTAGCTGTGACGGAGGCTTCCTGTGGCATAACCTGAGGATTACTGCAGCAGGAAATTTCATGTGGATCTGTACAGATGCGGCAGCTGTGCCCATTGAAGGATGGTGGATGAAAGGCTGAGAGTGCCCGCTTCTGTCCTTGGCTGTCCACATGTCATCATACATGGAACAATCTCGCAGGTAATGGTCTTGGTACAATTACATGCGGACATCCAGGGACAGATGCAGTCGCTGTCACCCTGTCATTCACTTTAATGTGCACAGCAGCTGCAGCTGTACAGACTCACCTAGGATTCCTGCACAAGAATCTTCAGGTTCTTGCTGCAGGAATCTCCAGCCGCAGCTATTAGCCGTGTGTCCGTGAGGCCTAAAAGAGCCGTGTTTACCAGCTGGGTTACTTTTTTGTGTGATCTCTTCCATATTTTGATTACTAATTGCTATGTTTGCAAACATTATCTTGAAAAGAACACATTGCCATGCTCACTGAAAGCTGCTATTCATACTACAGCTGTCTGATAGAAGAACTCCAGCCTAATTAAAAAGGAGGACACTCGATGTAAACCAAATCACTAAAATCGCATAAAAGCCTTACCATATTAATCTCATTTGAACTGTCACTTTTAATCCTTTCAAAACTACAACTTCCATTAAAAGAATACCAGGTGATCCTGCCGTGAAGACCCTTGTTTAGGCACTTCCTGTTATAGGGTGACAACACTCTAACACTGTGTCTGAACTGAACTGTCACATGCGCTTCCATTGGGGACTAGTAGTGGTAGTCCTGATACACATAGTGCAGGCATAAGTTGCTATTGCAGGGCTGGACAAATCCAAGCAGCCAGGTAGTCAATGCTCCTTAAAAGGAGAACAATGGGGTTAGTGCTTTTCCCCATAGTTCTCCTTAGGGTAACGGGAGGACACAAACTAGCGTCCTCCCGTTACCATAAGCTCAGTATACCGCGAGCTGTAGCTGTATACTGAGACGCCGCACCTGGAGCGGATCCCGACGTAGATGACGGGATCCGCCTAGCTGCGTGAGTGACAGCTGGCTCTGCCTATACCCTGCGACAGTCTCATTGTCACAGGTCGGCTAGAACTATGAGGTGAGTGGAAATCACTCACCTCATAGCTCTCCTTTAAAGTAGGGACAGAAATCTTTAAAGTAGTCTGGGCAGAAATATTATTAGCCCTTGCAGTGGGAGTACCCCCACACTGCAAGGTTTACTGCTCATTTATGTCTAGGGCTGATGATAAAAAAAGTTATACTCACGCGATCCTCTGAGCTAGCTTGCTCTTAGACCGGTCCTTCCAGTGTCTCTCCCCCCTCTGCTGCAGCGGTCTAAGGGTCCTCCAAATCATCATGTCAAATCACGGACATACCATCGCTTGGAGGGAGCGCTGCAGGCTCCGTGGATGATTTGGTGCGTATTACTTTTTTCAGCCCTAGACACAAATGAGCAGTTAACCTTTGCAGTGCAGGGGTAGCTCCACTGCAAGGATTAATATTTTTGCCTGGAGTTCTGCTTTAAAAATGACAGCTGGCACCTAACTTTTGAGGTTTCCTTTAGTTGTTGTCAATCACACTGCAGAGAACAGGTGGAGAGCGCAGTCCCATCGAAAGGTTTTCCCCTCTCAGAACCTTCGTTCTAATTTATTTAAATGAATGGGGCTTTGCTCCTAAAACAAGCAAAGTGGAAAGCACTACTTTATAGCACGTATTAAAGCATAAAATATTGCTTCTCATGCATCATACATGTCATATAGAGTGCATTATGTAGTTAAATACAAATGATGCATATGTATTATTCTAGGATACTGCGGGGTTGAGTTACTAAAGGCAAATAGGCTGTTCGCTTTGTTGGGGTATTTTCCCTTAGCTTAGTGAATGAGGTGAAGCTCTGCTGACTTCCATCACCCAATCATGAACAAGTAAAAATTGTTTTTTTTGTTTTTCTTGCACGATTGGACATTCTCTGCAAGGTTATGTTCCATCTCAATCACTAAGCTATGTGCAAATTCCCGGGCGCAATACCCACCCTATTTGCCTTTAGTAAATCAACCCCCATGACTCTAATACACCTCAGTTCAACACAAAGGAATGCAAGATGTGCAATATCAATTACACAGCAAAGAACCTCTATTCACAGGGCATCATTTCTTCAACTGATGCTTGAAACAATCCCCCATATGATAAAGCACTCTATAATCTGTATTTTCTAGGTTGTGCTATACGTTTGAGCCAAGCTGCAACAATATTAGCCCAGGAGAACGGTCCTCACATTTGTGAATGGAACCGTGAGGAAAATCTGAGTGGGAGGCAGGATTAACACCTCAGCTACAACTGGAAACACAAGCTCAGGAAGGAAGCAGAGCAGCTGCCCTGCTTTAATTTCCCTAGGGTCGCACAGACATTTCTGAATGGACCCACGTTGCAAAAGCATCCAAGGACAGACTTCCCGTGTCCATTAATTATCATCATCACGGGGCTTGAAGAGCGGAGCTGTGCTGACTGTATGATCTGTATCATTGCAATGATTCATATTTTCACGCACAGGTTTGCCACTACTTTAAATCAATATACCAATCGCATAGGCCTGTTTCTATGGCAGCATATCGGATGGAACACAATGCACACTGCATGAAAACGGAATATAAGAAGATGCATGTTTGGTGAGAAAACCTGGCATTTCTCTCAAGCTTTCGCACATCAAGTACCTATGGATTTTGTTACTTTGGCATTGCAGCATGTTCATTTCAATAACGCATAAAACGGTCTGTGAATAGCAATGGTAAGAGACTATCATTATGAGCAGCAGAAAGGCAAGACCGAGCAGAGCAGGTTTGCTTGGTAGGGTTGCTAGGTCAGACATTTAAAACCAGACACATAAAATATTCATGCTCCAAGGTTGTTTTACAATTAGTCCTGCATACTGGCTACTATGCTACTTGCAGCTACGGTACGTATGTTAGCGTGCATCAGAAGCAGGCAGCATGTGATTTTATGGGTGTCCATTTTAATTAGCTGACCTGGCAACCCACGCTAATTCGAGATTGAAAACTAAGAAGACTGTCTCTGGTTATCTTCCGTACAAATAAATGTACCAAGGGTGATCTGATAAAACATGGACGCCTATCTGCCGTAACCAACACTCAGTTCATTGGGAAGAATACCTTAGTAAAACAAGTGCAAATATGCACATGATGACAATACAGGCTAAATGCAATTTCATGTTACAATTATTATTACAAGCGAGAGAAAATAGGGTCCGCAATTTAGATTTTCTGACAAGGTTGCCATCCAGTCAGATATTGAGAAATGTAGATGTTTTGTTTAGCTTTGCTGCACAGCATGGCAATGCAAAATAGGAACAGACAGATTTACCATAACAAGGGCTGTGGAGTCGCCAGAACTCCAGACATGTAATAGCGTTTCACAAATGTATTCTGAAGAACAGTGTCACAGACAAACTGTATATACCCATGAGATATATGTCTGTGACGCTTTTCTTTACAATGCATTTGTAAGACGCTATTACATGCCTGGAATGCTGGGGACTTCATTTCCTTTGATCTGGTTGGGGCGCAGGGCCATGTGACACGATCACTTCTAGCGGCCACCTATTATTTGAAGGTCTAGTACTGTCAGGTTTGCAGCTTCATATACGAATTAATTGATTAATATATACATACATACATACATACATACACACACTGTGTGTATCTATCTATCTATAGCTCTATCTATCTATGAATCAGATTCACCAAACCATCAGCACTCGATTGATATATTCCTCCCTCTGCTAAGCACTGTGGCAATCAAAAAACATGCCCCTGACTATCTCCACAGTGTGTGTTCTCTAAACACTATGTCCATCCATATTTGTTCCTCCAGTTTTGGGTAGAGTGGGGAAGGATTACAACTTTTTTTTTTTTTTTTTACAGCTATATGGGGCGCTGTTAGAGAGATTTATCTTTACTTCCTGTCCTGCTGACAAGGGTATCACTAGACGGGAAGTAAGGGGAAAATCTGCAACAGGAACACAGGCAGAAATCTGACAGGGGTTCTAGCCATCCACTAATCAACAAAAGTAAAGCATTTTTATTTCGGTCTTTGTTGCTGTTGAGGAGTTCCCCTCACTTCCTGCCAGTGTTGCTCTTGGGGAGTTCTCCTCGCTTTCTGTCTGTTCCTGTCTATGTTGCTGTTGGCGAATTTCCTTCACTTCCGGTCTAGTATAACGTAAAACATTTTCAACATGACTAAAAGCGAGGGGAAAATCTCCCTAGGTGGACATACACCAAGTAAAAAACTGATGCAAGTGTCAAGAAAAATCTGTTGCTTAGGTTTGCAAAATCATCGAAGTTTCAAGTA